ACCACGTCTCTGTACTAGCTGACCCATGCAAAAATATAAAAGGACAGCCTGGTCCCTACTTGGAGGCTGACTGTTTTTCATAAGCAGCAGCCCCCTGCACAGATGCAATCAATTTCTATTAATTATTGCAACAAGTAGGGTCAGGAGTTTCCTTCTCAGCTGTGCGAGTCACAACAGATGGAGTGTCCACGTTGAAGCCACTGGCCGGAGAGGAAAGCTTGTTCACTCTGGGCTCTATGATGAATTGGAGGGGGGGGGGAGTTGTATTAAATGGGGGGAGGCACTTGTGTTTAAGCCAAGTGGGTGGAAGTTTTCTCAGGAGTCTACCAACCTGAGAGAAGTGAACCAACGTAATTTAGATTCAGAGTAAAACTTCCCCAAGCAGAAGAGGGGGTGGTCTGTAAATGATCTAATTTATGTGATTCTTAGCAAAGCCTGGATTCTATAAATTGATAGTAAATGGGGGGGGGGGAGAGAATGGACAGGGCAGGAGAGAGAAAGAGAGAGACAAGGGAGAGGGGGGAAGTGAATGGGGGGAGGTGAACAGAGCAGAGAGAGAGGGAGGGAGGGAAGAGAGAAGGAAGAGAGGGGAAGGAAGAGAAGAGAAGATGAGAGATGGGACAGAGGGAGATAAAAATACATAGAAGAAGGGAGAAACAGTAGAGAGAGTGGGAGAGGGAGAGAATTGGAGGCCAGGAGGAGAGAGGGAAATACAGGGAGAAAGAAAGGGGAGAAAGGGGGAAGAGAGAGAGAGAAAGAGAGGAAAAGAGAAGAGAGAAAGAGGGAGAGAGGAGAAAAGAGACTGCTTCCTCTCTGAGACAGAGGAGGGAGAGAGAGAAAGAGACAGGAGACAGAGAGAGAAAGAAAAATGCCTAGGAGAAGGGAAAAACAGAAGACAGAATGAGAGAGGAAGAAAGAGGGAGAGAGAAGGAGAGAGAATAGACAGGGAAGGGTAGAAAGGAGAGAAAAGGATGGAGAAAGAGGGAGAGGAGAGGGAAAGGGGGAAGAGAGAAATGGGGGAGGGAGATAAAGAGAAGGGGGGGAGAGAGGAAAAGGGAGAGAGAGATGGAGGGAGGAGAGAGAGAGAGACAGAGAGAGGAGGGACAGAGGGACCAAAGAGAGATGGGACAGAGAGAGAGAAGAGAAAAAATGCATAGGAGAAGGGAGAAACAGAGAATGGGAAGTTGGGCATAAATGACAGCTTGCACTGGGGAGCTGGGACCATGCGTGTGCAAAGGCACACACATATACACGCATGTGCACACACATGTACACTAACATATATACAGACAGATATACACAGATGTACACATACATACATACTAACGTATGTACAGACACATATACACATGTACACACACATACACACTAACATGTACAGACCCATACATATGCACACATGTACACACACATACACACTAACATGTACAGACCCATACATATACACACGTGTACACACACATATATACTAACATATGTAAAGACATATACATATACACACATGTGCACACACATGTGCACTAACATGTACAGACACATATACAGAGATGTGCACACACACATACTCTAACATGTATAGACATATACACACATATACACTAACATATGTACAGACCTGCATTAACTCAGGGTGATGCAACAGAAGATCACAGCCTGGGTGGCTTAGAAACAGCAGACATCTACTCTCAGTCCTAGTCTGAAGTTCAAGATCTCGGTATGGTAGATGCTGTGAGTGGTGGGGACTCCCTTCCTGGTTCATAGATGGCACCTTCTCGCTGTGTCCTCACATGGTGGGAGGGGTGAGGGAGCTCTCTGGGGTCCCTTTATAAGGACTGTGAGGCTTACAAACAGACATTTTTTGCTCACAGTCCTGGAGGCTGAAAATCTTGGCATAGTAAATGCTATGAGTGGTGGAGACTCACTTCCTGGTTCATAGGTGGTGCCTTCTCACTTTGTCCTCACATGTAGAAGGGACGAGGGAGCTCTCTGGTGTCCCTTTCATAAGGACCCTGAGGCTTACAAACAACAGACATTTTTTGCTCACAAT